GATTAATGTGTTCTAAATCCAGAGTTAGCCCTTTAAAAACAGTATCGCTAGCAATATTAGAATTGTGTGGGGCCGAGTTATCGTCAAAATTATTACATAGATGTCTAAACATTTTCAAAAACAAAATAAATTTATCGTCTATAAACCTTTGGCTATCATCGCATGCATCGCGGTGGTCAATATTTGTAGCAAATCGAGTATCTACTATTCAGACGTTAACATCCGATTATATTTGGCGTCACGTAAAATCAGAAAACAACCCTGCAGACATTTTATCGCGAGGAATATCACCTGATAAAATAAATGAATGTTATGTTTGGTGGCAAGGCTCCAAGTTTTTGCAAGAATATGATCTTGATTTACATACATTAAATTTTCACCCAAGAGCTCACCCAGGTAATTTGGATGAAGAGCGAAAAACTTCGAAAACCGTATCGCTTCATGTTCGTACTGACACGTTTTGGACTCCTCTTATATTGAGATTTTCTTGTATTTCACGATTTCAGAGAACCATTGCGTACTGTTTGCGATTTTTGAACAATCGATTAAAATTAACTCCTGAAAAAATCACCGGACCTCTAATGGTTCAGGAATTAAAAAATGCTTTAATAATAATTATAAAAGGAATCCAATTATTAAGTTTTGCGTCATATATCGAAGAGTTAGGATCACAGAAACCTATTACAAACAAACATATTTTACGTTTGAATCCATTTTTGGACAACGAAGGAATTTTACGTGTCGGAGGACGTCTTGCGAACGCTAATATTCCTTATGAACAAAAATTTCCCATAATACTTCCAAGTAAAAATCACGTTACTAATTTATTATTAAGAAAAGAACATCTGAAGTTAGGTCATGCTAGTCCTCAAACAGTATTATCAAATTTTCGGTTAAGATACTGGCCACTAAATGGTTTAAAAGAAATTAAGAAAATTATTAATAAATGTACAGTGTGCTATCGATTTAAGGCGCAACCAACTAATCAAATCATGTCAAATTTACCAAAAGATCGCGTCTCGGTAAGTCGACCATTTTACGCTACCGGCGTTGATTTCGGAGGGCCATTATTAATAAAAAGCTCGCCTCTAAAAAACGCCAAACTTTTGAAGTGTTACTTTGCAGTCTTTGTATGGCAACCAAGGCTGTTCATATTGAGTTAGTGTCCGATTTGACCACAGATGCTTTCATCGCGACTTTAAAACGATTTATTGCACGACGTGGCAATCCAAGAGTAATTTATTCCGATAACGCAACTAATTTTTTAGGCTCAAAAAATGAAATAAAAATAATTTACGACTTTTTTAAAATACCAAAAAATTTGACTGAGGTTCAAGAGTTTTTAAGCGACAAAGAAATTTAATGGAAGTACATTCCACCACTCTCACCCCATTGGGGAGGAATCTGGGAGGAAGCAATTAAGAGTACAAAATATCATCTTCACCGTGTTATTGCAGATGCCCACCTAACATTCGAAAAACTGTACACGTGCCTAACTCAAATTGAGGCAATCCTGAATTCGCGACCTTTGTGCGCAATGTCTACTGATCCATCTGATATGAATGTATTAACACCTGGACATTTCCTTATAGGAAATAGTTTAACGGCGCTTCCAGAGAAAGATATATCGAATAACCAAACGAACAGACTCTCAAAATGCCAACAAATTTCTAAGATCCAGCAACATTTCAGGAAACGTTGGACTGTTGACTATTTAAATCAATTGCAAAATCGCCCTAAATGGCTACGTTCATCTGAAAATCTTAAAATCACTGATCTTGTATTATTAAAGGAGGACAATGTCCCGCCATTGAAATGGCCTAGTGCGCGTATTATAGAGGTCCTTCCTGGTCCCGATGGAAGGGTACGACTGGTAAAATTAAAAACTCAAAAGGGAGAATTTGTCAGGAATATTTCAAAGGTATGTCTTCTTCCTAGACAAGAATTAGTTTAGTAATGTAGGTTTAAGTTTAATATTGTTTCGTTTAAATTCTTATGTTTAGTTGAAAGAAATTCGTGGATCAGCATCTGAAGGATTTTTATTTAAATGTCATAAGGTCTTGAAAATATAAATTCTGTTGAAGTCGGAGACTTCAAGGCGGGGGAATATGTTCAATTTTCCAATGTAAATTTCAAAATTCAAATGGATTTGCCGCGTGAGCTTCTGGTCGGGTTTGTACTCCATAGGTGGCGCTGCGATCACCCCCCAAATGTGCTTAGAAGTGTGCGAAAGCAAGAACAGTCGTTCTAAGAATTTAGACACGATCGTTACTCATGCTCGTAATTATAATACAAAGAAATCAACGTTATTTGTCCGTTTTGTGCACATCCACGTTTTGTCTTAAAAGTGCGAACCTATTAGTAGGTCACTTAGTTTTTTGTAAACAAAATATAATACCAGTTTGTAAATAAATAGTGAATAAATTTGTCAAAAATATAAAATACAGTCCACACAAGTGACAACACCTGCTTCCTAACCCATTATGTACAAAGAGATTCCCGTACACTGCCATTGAAATAACTGATCAAACTCGATTATGTCTTAATTGTCGCCAAGCAGTGCAGGCAGCATTACGAGCTATCGAAGCGGATCCTGCTTGCGCAAGATTTAATATTTTACTACAACAATCTGGACGCGTATGCTTTATATGCAATGCCGAAAATGATTTAAGGAGATTATCTTTAGAAGCTAGAATACAAATCTTTCTAAAAGATTTACGTTCCTCAGTACACTAAAACATGTCAACATCACCTGACAGATGACAATCATATTATTTTTGCTTTATTACCAGGGTTGAGAGGCATAAATAGACCGTATGTTATTCCGGGTCAAGATCAGCAGGCTTTCCTTCAAAGCTTGAGAAATAAGATAGTAGAAACAAGAGACATTACGGATGAATCAGAATTGACGGATGAAGAATTCAAAGTATTAACATCATTAACGAAAGCCCAGTTTGATGAATTACTAACTTACTGCGATCCGGTACAAGAAAATAATAATAATTCTTTGCGCTATGTTTACAAGAAGGATCTTATAACCTTCTTATGCAAACTTCGACAAGGGCTGACTGATGAATTTCTAAAAGTGATATTCCATTATTCTTCACGTCAAGCAGTAAGTATGGCTATTGCTAATGTACGAAAGTCATTAATGGGACGTTTTGTGCCAGAAAATGTTGGTTTTCAAGCTATAACTCGTCAAGAATATATAGAAAGACATGTAACACCTTTTGCTAATGAATTATATAACCCTGAACCTCAAGTTCACAGAGTTATAGCTTGTATTGATGGTACATATTCTCATATAGATAGAAGTTCAAACTTTCTCGCATTACGACAATCGACAATCCTTTTGCCTTCACAAAGGTCGACATTTAGTTAAACCAGCTTTAATTGTTGCCCCTGATGGCTTTATTCTCGCTGTTCAAGGCCCCTATTTTTCTGACAGTAGAAACAATGATGCCCAAATGTTAATTAATGAGTTTGAAACCGATGTTGCTGGCATAAGAGAATGGCTTCAGGATGGTGATATTTTAGTGGTAGACCGTGGATACAGAGACGCTGGGGAATATCTTACTGCATTAGGAATTGAATCAAAAATGCCTAACTTATTAGAACGGGGCCGAACTCAATTCACTGATGAAGAGGCGAATGAAAATCGTCTTGTAACCAAGACAAGATGGGTTATTGAATCCCGAAATGAGCATATTAAATCTATATTTAAGTTTTTTGATTAAACAATAGAATCAGCTCATGTTATTCATCTTCAAGATTTTACAGAATAGCAGCAGCCTTAATTAATAGATATCATCCTCCCATAGAAATGATTGGTGCTAATTTAAAATTGGCAAGAAGAATGTTAGAACGTTCCCGAGAACCTAACTTACTGCAACAGAGAGTTGAAAATGAAGGTCTTCTAAGAAGAAGAGTTGCAGGTTGGCAACCCTTAAGAGGTAATCAAGTTCGATTTCCTTATTTGTCAATTGATTATCTTAGAGACTATACATTTGGTACTTATCAAATTAGTTTAGCCTCGTCGTATGTTCAAGATAAACTTCAGCAGGAAGAAGATGAAGAATTTCAAATTGACGAACTTATGGATGATCCAACGTTATTACGTATTAGATTATACTCCCGATTTAGAAATCGTACAAAGTACCAAATCTTTATTCAATTCAATGCTGCTGCTATAGAACACGTACCACCCAATCAAGAAATCGTTCCAATTTTAGGGCATTACTGCACATGTAAATCAGGGGCGAAAATCCTTGGTTGCTGTGCTCATATTGCCAGTGTTCTTTGGTATTTAGGTTATGCTAGGAATGAACCTCATATAAAATATCCACCAACAGATTTATTAAACAATGTAATTGATGCAGGACATCAACCTCCACAGTTAAACCTTAACGATCCTCGAATAATTGAAGGCTAAAATCATCCTAATATCCAATTATATTACCAATTACATATTTCTAGTCTCATAAATACCTTTAAAAAGAACTTAAGATATTCTTAATACATTTTTAATTAAATAAACAACCAGCCCTTTTCAGGGCCAAATGGTGTGCAAAATCCGACTTGACAACCTCCTCGTGGTGCACACTGGGTTACTCTGAAGTCAGCGGTAAAAACTTTTTGTTTTATAAATATTCTTTAACAATTAATTGAACGGTTTTTCATAAAGGTAGCATTAAATAAAAAATGCAAAAAACTGCAGTCATAAATCTATGCACTCCCACCCACATGCGCACACACACATACACACATATAATTAGGCATGCACATATTCTTACATAAAATACTCACACGCATGCAAATTAACTCTATGATATGATTTCTTAAGGGACTGTACAAGCATTAAACAAAATTTTTTAAAAAAAGTTAATTTTTGCCGTTTTTGGCCACTAAAAATTGCCGTAGAGCCTAAAGATGGGCATTTTGAGCTTCGACCCCATTGAGACTTTTGATCAGGGGTACAAAACGAACAATTTCCCAAATTTTTAGCAAATTTCACCGGAAGACCGTTTTCCATATAAAATGTGAGCCCTCTCTTGAGCGTATGTTGGAACTTGCCAATCTACGGCATTTGGAGTGGAGAAACCAAGTACGATCTGCGACGGAGTAAATGTAGTAGCTGCATTTTGACGATTACGTAGAGTATGTAGAGCCTGTGGTAGATAGACGTCCCATGTGTTCTCGGCTTTGTTTAATGTTAAAGCTCTAAGAACTTTTTTGAGGTCCTGGACTTTTCTCTCTACCGGATTCGCTCTCTGGTGGTAGATGGCTACTCTATCGGTTGGAATATGAAATTTTTGACAGAATTTTTGGTATTCGCGGCTGACGAAAGCCGGGCCATTATCGCTAAGGATACGTCTCGGAGCACCGCACCTAGAAATAATCTCTTCCTCGAGAAAATTGACGACATCGTGGGCCGCGACACTATGATAGGCCTTGGCTTCGGTCCACTTGGAGAATACGTCCTCTACCATAATGATGTACCTATTTTTGCGAAGTGTAGTTACATATGGACCTAAAATATCTATGGAAATAACCTCAAAAGGTACCGGTATTAGCGGCTAGAGGCGCTGGTTCCTGGATCTGCCTAGGTTTGACTCGGATACAATCTACACAATTTCTTACGAAATTTCGAACATGACGCTGCAACCCTCTGTGATAGTACCTCTCTTCGATACGTCTGACGGTTTCTTGTACCCCAGGATGGGTATCGCAATGAAAATATGTGATAACTTCCTTTAATATGGATACTGGAAGAACTAATTTACTCTGCTCGCCTACCTTCCTATATAATAAGTGGTTTTCGTCGACGACGTGCCGATCGAAAGTTTTTTGCTCGGTTTGTGTGACAGGTTGGTCCCTCTGGAGACGCTTCCATAAACGTCGGGTACGCTGGATTGCGCGAGATCGTCGTTGTGCCTGTCTGCAACGTGTATCTAGATCTACAGGGTTAACTAAAGCAACAAGACAAGGTTTATCAGGATAAAAGAGACGTTCTTTGTCGACTTGTGTTACTGGCTCCTAGTGCTCTGGTTCTCGACTTAATAGGTCAGCTAATTGGTTAGATTTCCCTGAGCAGTGGCGTAGCTCGTACGAAAATTCCGAAAGAAGTAATGACCATCGTGTTAGCTTAGCACGAGCGTCTCGCTGCTTGTCCAGCCAAAGTAACGCACGACTATCGGTTTGCAAAATGAATGGTTTATCTTCAATATAAATACGATATTTCTTAATGGCCCAGACGATGGCAAGACATTCTTTTTCATTGATATGGTATTTACGTTCCGTTTTGTTTAAAGTAGCACTAGAATACGATATGATATGTTTAGCGTTATTTTCACCTTCCTGGTATAAGACAGCACCTAAACCTGTTTCTGAGGCGTCCGTGTTTAAAATAAATGGTTTATCGAAATCTGGTCGATGTAATACGAGGGGTTGAGATACTAAGTCTTGAACCGCGGAAAAAGCTTCTTGACATTCGCTTGTCCATTTATATTTTTTATCTTTCTGTAAGAGACTAGTAAGTGGTTTCATAAAGCTAGCGAGATTTGGTAAATACTGACGCACCCAATTACATGTACCAATAAAAGCTTGCAACTGTCGCTTAGTTTGAGGCGGAGCAAAGTTTTTTATGGCGTCTAAATGTTTAACTTGAGGAGTAGTGGTATTCTGACATTCTATGTCCTAGATAATCGAGTTCTTGAACAGCAAAAAAACATTTTTCTAAAGAAATTTGCAATTTATGTATGCTAAATCGTTCTAAACCAAGATGTAAATGAATTAAGAGGTAGGTCAAAGTTTCGCTATATATTATTACGTCATCAAGATAGCACTGAACAAAATGATGCAGACAACCTACCAATACTTCCCGGGTCATAAGAGCCTGACATGTGCGCGGTGCGGCTTTTAAACCAAAAGGTAAAACATTAAAGTGGTAAGTGGCCCCGTCATGAGTAGTAAAAGCAGTGTATTTTTTTGAATCCTGATGGAGAGGTATCTGCCAATAACCTGCACGCATGTCCAGTGTTGTGAAATATTTGACTTTCCCGAAATCTTCCCCGAAGTGTTTCGTTAATTTTAGACAAAGTTGTAGGCTCGTCGAGTGTAATAGCGTTTAATGAACGATAGCCCACACAGAATCTAGGCTTTTTTTCCTTGTCGTTCCATGATAAGCGGTGGTGAACTATATTCTGAATTACTGGCCTCGATGACGCCTAAAGATAACATTTCATAAACTTGGGAAATGATAAATTTTTTCTTTTCCGGTGAAGCCGGGTACGGTTTTTCGTTAATAATTTTGTCTTCTTTTAAAATAATTTTATGTTTAGTTGTAGTGGCTGTGTAGGTTGTTGCGCGAATAATTCTGGAAATTCATTTAATATATCTGAAATTTGTGACAAATGTTCTGTTGGACTTTGTATAACATCTAATTCGACCTTAGGCGGAGTAGGGTTTATACCTATATTTTCTGGAATTTTCCAATGGACTGTTTCGCGAAATGTAATTCCGAAATACATACGTCGAAGATGGTAGTCAAACGCGGCGTCTTCGCGGGTTAAAAAAGAAGCACCTAAAATAATATCTTCATTTAAATCTTTAATTACATGAAATTCCTCATCGGTTTCAAATCTACCGATTTTCATGGGTAGTGTTACGTTTCCTTTCGTCAAAAGAAGAGTCGACCCACAAGCTTGTGTGAAAACTCGGGTATCTGCAGTACGTGGAAAATTTAAAACATGCCTTTCTGAGATAAGGTTTTATCACCGAACCCGAGACTGCATTAAATCTAATGTAAAATAAATATAAAATTATCGTAGACTGCGAAAACACAGAGACATCGCTGTCATCAGTCATCAATCAATAAATTTAAGATAGTGACAGTCACATAAATACGAATCGACTACTGACTCTCAGGCCACGGTAAATCATAACTCAGACTATTATTTCAGTAACAAATCATTTTAGAAAGTTTTGTGATATTTTTTTTTCCAAAAAAAACCTATACGAAGTTCTACGCCTTCCCAGGAATTTTACTAGCCGCGGCACCGAAAAAATCGCGCAACAATAATCCAGTAAGAAACGGAGGCGTAGACATGGCGCCCAACTAAGGGGCCTCTAGTGGACAAGCGCGCCCACAAGGACCTCACAACCAGGTATCGATATGGAAAATAGATATCCACCTCCAATTCAACAAAGACATTCAGAAATAGACAGTGTATTGTCTTTTGGACCGGCACAACGTTCCACTCCAAGGCAGGAACCACCCACAGGTGAACAACGTCTCACTGATGCGTTTACGACAGGCTCATGCAACATGCTACAGCCGGAAACAAGGCCGACACCCCGTCTCACCCTTTGCGGCGGAATCACGAAGTGTCCGGCAACGTTCTTCGCGCTTTGATGCGTGGACACCAACGCCGGAGATGGGATCAACACCTGCCCCAAGCACTATCCATACTCCAAACAAGACAGCAACAACAGCGACCAGAACGAGCTGCCATCCAAGCTCGTCAACAAGATTTCCAAGCCAAACTCTACGAACCAGACACCCAACCACCCACCGAATACCAAGTCGACACACCAGTCTTGGTGAGGTCACATCCGACGAATCGAGAAGCTTTCGCCCCGGTCTGAACTGGCCCCGGCAGAGTACTACGACATTTGGGAGACGTTACCTATGAAATCGGTCGACACGGCGCTCGAACTCAACTCCACCACATAGACGACCTCCGCCCAGCGCCCCAGGGCAATTATGACGTCGAACTAAGCGACGACGAGTCCGACGATGACAACCAAGTCTCAGGGGACCACCACTTACCACAACCTCCACAACCAGGCCAGCCAGCTACCACAGAGCAAAAATGTCAAGGTGACATACCGCTCCCGGTCGAGCCACCACAGCCAGGTCCAAGCCGCAGACAGCCTAAGCCAAGGTCCACCGCGGCAGACGCAGAGCCATTAGGTCAGAGCGATCGTCAGCTCTCCTGCAGCAGCCAAAGTCGAGCCAACAGCGAGTCCAGAGACTTAGGCCACAACATGGCCCTGGTAACAAACNTGTGTGTGTGTGTGTGTGTGTGTGTGTGTGTGTGTGTGTGCGCGTGCGCCTGTCTCTCTCTCTCTGTCTCTCTCTCACACACACATTGTTCGAAACCAGTATACCTGTATGTCTGGTGGTTCTGCTGACGAATAATTCAATTACTGGTAGGGGCATTAGCCCGCAGAGTAATTGGTTCCCGCAATTCAAAGTTTAAAATTTATAATACACTTCAAAGTATCTTGATGTCTGTTAGCGAAATTGAATTATTTTAGTTAACAGGTAACTTTAAGTCTTTTCTAGCCTATTTACTAGAAAATTTAAGGTGTAGCTGTTACGTAGACGGCACTGATAGTGTGGATGAAGTTCTTACATCCAACTAAGCATTTACCGATTTAAGTAAATTTTTTTCTTTTATATGAAAAGTGGACCATAAAGCAATCCTCGCTGTATATCGATTAATTAATAGCTATGATACTAATTAAATAATATATAATAATAATATTAAACATATATAGCATCAATTAACAGGAAAATGAAAGACAAAGTAAAATTAAACACTTGATCACGAAACCCGAATATAGTTTTTTAATTCATTAAAAAGTATATCATGCGTAGGCCGCACATATCGCCAAAATATTTCAGTTCCCTTTTTTACTGCCGAATATGGCCGTTTTTTTATTTAGCATAAAATTTTAACTTGCTTTTATCGACGGTAAAAAGAAGTAATTTATTACGTAAAGTGTCAAGGTGTCACGTAACGTTTCTACCTTCAAAAGAAGGATTTTGTTTTTTATCCTTTACTGCCTAAATAGAAGTTCATTAAAGGAATGCCAATAGCCTGATTGAAAAAATATATTTATACAGGATCGCTGATATGTATGGAAACGGTCTATTACACAGTCCCACAAAAAAAGGTCGTATCTGGATGAGTGACCATGGTATTCCTATGCATTTTTCAACGCTGAATCCGAATCCGAGGTCAAAAAAATTCCCCTTAAATTTATGTGTAGAGCCAAGAACATCCCTTAAATAGGGGTAAAGTTATGAATATCAATATAATTACGGAAAGGAGGCGAATGAGAGTTTTGTAACCCTCGCGCTCTCATTTATTATCGCCAAGGGCTTCCCCGAAGGGTTGGTACGCCTTCTACACATCTACTCCTATACCCTTCCGGACATAGATCTGCGTCATGAAAGCTTCTAGCTTACAAGCTCTGGAGAATGCAAAGGAGACACGGTGGAGGAAGAACACAGCCAAAGAACCAACCCCCTAGAGGGATGAAAACTATCCTCTGCTGGACGGTGTGGAGGAAGATGTAGGAAAGCAGATTTTTCTTGGTTTTACTGCGTTTTCATGAAACTGGAGGTGTTACACATCGACGAGAAAGTAGAAGACCAGTAAACCTTACAAATGAATAAAATGTTTTGAATGCGGTGGATGTGGATTTCATATGAAATTCATTTGTGACTAGAATTGAGTGAGTGAAGACGATTATGATGTAGAATCGAGAGATTATTGAGGTCGTTATTTGAAAGTGGGTACAATATATTGACCAGTAGGTATTAAGTAACAGTGACAATTAACATAATACCCTTTGTTGGTTACATTTCACTTAAAATGTTCGCAATGCCAGTCCAATTATAATACAGGGTGACCAAATGAAAACGAAACAGCCATTTTCAGGAACTGCGTCAAGATTGTAGAAAAACGCTCAGACCCGTCTATTTTAGATTAAACGGGGACATTATTTGCTGGTATTTTTGACTCCACCCCTTTCACTCGCAAGCAAGGGTAAGCATCACCCCAAAATATTTAAATGGCATTGGGGACTGAGTAATATTTCTTTTGAAAGCTCTTACAATTCTCTTTACAACTTTAAATTTTATAATTCCGCCCAATACTTCGAAAAAAATTTACTTTTTAAAATTTAAACTATGTTTAGTTGCTTACTTAGTTGATTAAATGTTCAAACTGATGACCGCCCGCTTCCATACAAGAATAAAGATTTTGTCGAAAGGTTCGCGCACATTCAGAAACATTTCCGGAGTGATTCGACGGCATTCGTCGACGCTTCTTTGACGCAAATCTTCCAGCGACGCTGGCTGTGTAGTCATTACAGGCTGTGGAAAACATAGCCCTCCGCACGGCCACCGACGCGCCCTGGTACGTAAGAAACACTGACATACTACGAGACTTACAATACACAAACGCTACACAGACAATAAGACAAAACGCGGAGAAACGGTTTGACGTAGCCGCTAGACATGACCTCAGGCAAGCCGTTGACTACGTACCCGACGTGACCAACAAACACAAAAGACCTAGACACCAACTTTTTGACCCTGGGTGACCACCCCAATGACCCCAATCCCCTGCCCGCTAACCTTTTCTGTTTCAGAGACAGCCAGGATCAAGAAACGAAGACAACGACACACAC